ACAAAATATGGGATTCAAACAGCAAAAACTGTCGTTTAACCAGAGCAATGATGGAAACTGAGTGTTTTGAACATTTGGGTCATGATCCTGCAGCAAATATGACATGATAGATACTGACGTTTTATGACGTTTTAAGCCTATAGATTTTAACGGCAAACGCTAGGATTTCGGAAACAAACATGTGGATTTTTCACCTTTGAACATGATGAAAACATATAAACATATATAAACCATCAACTTCGGGACGATGTTCTCCTAAATTTCAGACAATTATCCATATTTTGTTCGTTATGTGTATGTATGTGTATATATATATATAAATGTCCCATTAGGTCCTATTAAAAAAAAAAAATCCTGGTAGTTGGTCCATGTTCAACCCCAAAGAAAGGAGGTTTAATCTTTAGTTCGTATTCATTATGAGTGTTCCCCAAAAATATGTATATATGATATATATATATATAGATAAGAAGATCTTCCGAAACATGGATCCAGATTATATCCCAGTCAATGTGGTAATCCCAATAATAAACCTACCATTTGGGATGCTTTATTGGGGTTACCATATTATATCCCATTTTTAGATAATTTCCACTGAAGAAACCTCGGCAATTTATGAAGTTCTGCTGCTGAGAGCCCTCGCTGGGGGAAGGTCAGACCTGCAAAATGACGATTTTCATCAGCAAAACTGCGGAGCAAACATCAGATTTATAGATTATTTATTTATTTATTTATTTATTTATTTATGTATGTATGTATGTATGTATTTATATATTTATTCAATGATTTATTTATTGATTTATTGAAAGCAAAAAAATACTGATTGAAACCACGAACCCGAATGCATCTTTTAAAACTCACGTAGAAGAAGGGTTCCTACAGAACAATGAAAAGCGAACAGGAGATGCTCGATCGCATTAAAAACCACTCTTGCAGAACACTCTTGCTTGACACTCTTCTTGGACAATCGTGTGGGACACTCTTTGGTGACACTCTTGTGGCATACTCTTGTGGGGCACTCTTGTGGGGCACTTTTATGGGACCCTCTTGCGAGACACTCTTGCTTGACACTCTTGTTCGACAGTCTTTGTACTACAAAGCTTGCACAAGGCACTCCCCAGTACTACTTTGTTCTACAAAGCTTGCACGAGGCACTTCCCAGTACTACTTTGTACAACAAAGCTTGCACAAAGAACTTCTAAGTACTACTTTGTACAACAAAGCTTGCACAAAGAACTTCCAAGTACTACTTTGTACAACAAAGCTTGCGCAAGGCACTTCCCAGTACTACTTTGTACTACAAAGCTTGCACAAGGCACTTTCCAGTACTACAGTCGAGGGCTGAAGTCAGAGCAATTTTCTTGAATGTGGACAAACCGCTTGCGGAAAAGTCGCCACGACCGGGTCACAGCAGGGTCACAGCAATCCATCAAAACACAAGGGAATTGCCTTCATTTGAAGGATACAAAGTACCATTATAACAAACACGAGAGAGCCCACCCCTCGCACTGCAGACTACTCTTCTGCCAGCACTGCTTTGCATTACAAACAATCATTCTGCCACAATGGTTTGATTTGAGAAGGAGTACGACTGAGTGAACGAAGGAAACAATGAAAAGAGAAGAAGTAACAGTCTGTGAGAAAGAAAGAGAAGAAGATAAAAAAAGGAACAGACAAAGAACACAAATGAAAACAAGTGCTGAAAATACAACCGAACGACCCCCCGAACGACCCCCGAACGACCCCCCGAACGACCCCTGATTCATGAGTTGTCAAGCGCAGGACCCAGGGCCATCATTGACCACAACATGAAGTGCGGAACTCCCTGCGCCACCGCACCCCTTCTTCATCCCAAACCATCAAATAAAGAAAACGAATGTCCCTCCCATCCAAAAGAGGTATGTAAGAGGAATGACCAAAGGGACGTTTCCCCCATGTAAGCTAAATGTTAAATATGCTGGAACAACCTCAGCAAATAATGTATAAACAAATTCTCGGCAGCTATTCCTATTGGATTTGAAAATATAATATTGATGTCCTGCGTCGCGCGACCACATCAAACCCCTATTGGTACAGCCTCAAATTTCTTGCAATGCAAATGGGTTAGCTGTAGCAAATCCTATTGGCAGGGCTATGATCTAGCATGATATAAGGATATGGAGGCCCCTTGTTTTCCGCAGCCAAATCTATGGCTGGCGCGATGTGCATCAAGGTCGTGGGCAGCTCTCGGAAAGTTTGTTGTCCTATCCACCCAGGCAAGCAAGCAGCAGCAAGCAGCAGCAAGCAGCAGCAAGCAGCAACAAGCAGCAGGCAAGAAGCAAGCAAGCAGCAAGCAAGCAGCAAGCAAGCAGCAAGCAAGCAGCAAGCAAGCCAGCCAGCAAGCCACCCAGCCAGCAAGCCAGCCAGCAGCAAGCAGCAGCAAGCAGCAGCAAGCAGCAGCAAGCAGCAGCAAGCAGCAGCAACAGCAAGCAGCAGGCAAGCAGCAGCAGGCAAGCATCAGCAAGCAAGCAGCAACCAGCGTTTGCCCCCTAGAAAGAATGAACAAATATAAGCTTTAAAAATCAACGCGATACTAAAAATTGAACTTTTTTCAGGCGCACGGCCCTAAAACAATGAAATCGTTCAAGTACTAAAAGTTGTGATGATGCGAAACTTGAACTTTTTCCAGGCGCACGGCCTCCCGATACGACTTTCAGAAACTGATACGACTTAAACCGAGCACTTGTATGGTCATCCAAGAACCCAACGGAAATACATGGATTTGACCCACAAAAGCCTCTAAAATGATTCAACAAATCACTGCAAATCTCATAGGCACAGCCACAATCGCTACGACCCCCCGAAAAGCTTCGCCCAATGGTATGGACTCAAAAGCAAAGAATCGCTACGACTTTGACCCTTGACTGTACTTTGTACTACAAAAGCTTGCACAAAGCACTTCCCAGTACTACTTTGTACTACAAAGCTTGCACAAGGAACTCCCCGTACTACTTTGTACTACAAAAGCTTGCACAAAGCACTTCCCAGTACTACTTTGTACTACAAAGCTTGCACAAGGAACTCCCCAGTACTACTTTGTACTACAAAAGCTTGCACAAAGCACTTCCCAGTACTACTTTGTACTACAAAGCTTGCACAAGGAACTCCCCAGTACTACTTTGCACTACGAAGCTTGCACAAGGGACTCCCCAGTACTACTTTGTACAACAAAGCTTGCGCAAGGCACTTCCCAGTACTACTTTGTACTACAAAGCTTGCACAAGGAACTCTCCAGTACTACTTTGTACTACAAAAGCTTGCACAAAGCACTTCCCAGTACTACTTTGTACTACAAAGCTTGCGCAAGGAACTCCCCAGTACTACTTTGCACTACAAAGCTTGCACAAGGCACTCCCCAGTACTACTTTGTACTACAAAGCTTGCACAAAGTACTTCCCAGTACTACTTTGTACTACAAAGCTTGCGCAAGTACTTCCCAGTACTACACTGCACTTCACACTTCACACTTCGCACTTCACACCCCGCACTCCACACTCCACACTTCACACTTCACTTCACGCTCCTCACTTCACACTCCACACTTCCCACTGCACACTCCACACTTGACACTTCCCACAACACACAACACACTCCACACTCCACACATCACACTCCACACGTCATACTTCACACTTCAGAGTTCACAGAGCACAGTTCACACTTCACACTCTCCACTCCACACTCTCCACTCCGCACTTCACACTCCACACTTCACACTTCACACTTCACACATCACACTTCACACTCCACACTCCACACTTCACACTCCACACTCCAGACTCCACACTTCACACTTCACAATGCACGTTCACACGTCACAACACATCACCTTTTCTCACTTTCCCCATAGACAGCGCGCGCCAAAGCCATTAGAGAGTCACGAAGCAACTTTTGCTTGAGTGCCACAAAGTCCCACGTCTGCCACGCGAAATGCGCTTTCACACGTCACAACACATCACCTTCTCTCACTTTCCCTATAGACAGCGCGGCGTAAACATTAGAGAAAAAATCAAAAACGACGAGCAAACAGTCCACCATGGCCTAGACGCACAAGAAAGAAAACAAGAACCCTTCGCTACGCATTCGGAAAAACAAACACAGAAAGAACATACAAAAGCCACAAGTTCAGAAGTAAGTATATGTCTTATCTGGTTGGTGGTATACCTACCCCTATGAAAAATATGAAAGTCAGTTGGGATTATTATTGCCAAAATTATTGCCAATATATGGAAAATAATCCAAATGTTCCAAACCACCAACCAGTTATGTATTTCATCTGTAGATGAAAACCAACATCAACAGTGATGACTTCACGAGACGTGAGGCCCCCACACATCTGCCAACATTGGCCCTGCAGGCTGCGATAGGTCGAGCTCACCAATTCATCCTTTTCCCTTGATACATATAGCACACCACCTGTAGAACCACCTGTATATGATATACCATACAGTATCCTTAAATGCTATAATATACATATATACGCATTAATCGTCATATCATGATTATTCATGATTTCTGAATTCTGGAACACATATTCTCAGGGATAGCTTCCTGAAACCAGTCAGTGCCTTGATGAACACACGCCACACTTGGGTTTACCCCAACATGAGTCCAGCAAGAGCCATCAACGTGAAATGGCTCCGTCTAACCCAACCCCCACGGGGTGCCTGGTGAATGGGTTTCCCACCCGGTGGTGATAGGGACACCACGCGGTTCACCCCGCTATGAGCCACTGCGGCAGTCAGGACAGGGGACGCTGACACGGCTTGAAAAAACGGCTTGGAGTGGCATGTTCATTGGGTAGCAAAAAAACCAGATTCAACGCCGTAAATTTGAAATTGATCTTCATAATTCCCAAAATACGCGTATACATATCCACTTAGCAAGGAGCCTGGGAACCCCAATGGAATCTGACACCATTATGGGTTTCATTTCAATGGGAACGCGGTGCGCATCATGGCCACTTTTGCCCTCATTCCATGGAATGTGCAAAAGCAGCTGCTTCATCATCAGCGCAACACCTCTTGCATGGAGGATGTGCTTGGAGTGGGAAATTTTGGGGTCAACTCAAACTGTTGACGCTGTTGGAAACATGAAACCACTTGGCAATTTGCAGCGTACAAGTTGATAGGACCTACTATGGATGCCAATCGGCCAGTTGGCCATGGTAGATTGCGAATTTTTCCAACCAAGACCAACCCCAAAAAATAAAAGTTGCACATGCCAGAAACTGCAAAATGTGTTCTTTGATCCCACTCTCCACCAGACAATGTGACTTCAACCCCTTCAACATGACATTGGACAAAAATCACATCTTCGATCATCTTCGTAACTGTCTGTGAAATTGGGATTGGAAAGAAAAATCAATTTAAATCGTGTATTTCAATCTATATACCATCTGGTTATTTAACATAGCCATGGAAAATCACCATTTGTAATAGGTAAACCATCTATAAATGGGTCATTTTCCACGGCTATGTCAAATAACCAGAAGGTATATCTATAATTATCTATATATGTTTTATCAACTTCAATTGGGGATGATTCAACCTTTTCGAGGGAACCCTTCGGTGAAATCGACAGAAGCTCACGAGGCTTGGGCGACTGTGGCAATGCACATCCTGAAGCATTTCTTCACCACTGCTGGTTGGTGGTATACCTACCCCTCTGAAAAATATGAAAACCAGTTGGGATGATTATTCCCAATCAGAGGGCTATTTCCCAGCCGTTCAGGAGACCTGCAGCTTCTCAATTTGATCATCGTACTGCCCTTCTCTCGAATGCTATGCCTGCAGCCAAAAGAATCAACGGGAGCAGCCAGGAGGTACCTTGAGCCTTGAGGATACCGACCTGGAAAAAAATACAGTAGTCAGTGTTCGTATCAAACCAAACAAATTTTGGGCTCAACCTTGAAGATATGTTGTTTTTCAAGAACTAGTCCCATCCAGGCCCCTGAAAGGCAATAAGTGATTTAGGATGTTGAAGGTTTTTCCCAAAGAATCCACAAGAGAATCATGGACAATTTCAGTCGAGGCCAACCTGGTTCGAGGTGACCAGGCCTTGTGCGAGCACCTGGTCGCATGCCTTTGCGTGCCTGAGCCATGGGAGAAACGCGATTCCTGGTCCTGGTAGTATTTTTTCCCCACCTGCCTGCCAGGTGAGGGTTGTTAGATTTTATCAGAGCTGTTCTTCTCCTCCTCGGCTAGCTCTTCTCCTCCTCCTCTTCCTCCTCCTTCTCCTCCTTCTCCTCCGCCTGTTTCGCCTGGACCATGTCTGCATCAACTTCCACCTCAACTTCCGCCTTGCCAACTCTTCGCCAAGCTCTTCGCCAACTTCCGAGCTCAGTGGGCCAGTGGGCACCGCTGGACCTCAACCTGGGACCTGCCCAGCTCAGTGTGCACCGCTGGACCTCAACCTGGGACCTTCCCAGCTCAGTGGGCACCGCTGGACTTCAACCTGGGACCTGCACCGCTGGACCTCAACCTGGGACCTTCCCAGCTCAGTGTGCACTGCTGGACCTCAACCTGGGACCTGCCCAGCTCAGTGTGCACCGCTGGACCTCAACGGCCAGATAGAATGCCAGAAGATATGCCAGATAGAATGTCAGATAGAATGCCAGAAGATATGCCAGATAAAATGTAAGAAGATATGCCAGATAGAATGCCAGAAGGTATGCCAGAGAGAACGCCAGAAGATTTGCCAGATAGAATGCCAGAAGATATGCCAGATAGAATGTTAGAAGATATGCCAGATAGAATGCCAGAAGGTATGCCAGAGAGAACGCCAGAAGATTTGCCAGATGGAATGCCAGAAGATATGCCAGATAGAATGTTAGAAGATATGCCAGGTAGAATGCCAGAAGGTATGCCAGAGAGAACGCCAGAAGATTTGCCAGATAGAATGCCAGAAGATGTGCCAGATAAAATGCCAGAAGATATGCCAGATAGAATGTCAGATCGAATGCCAGAAGATATGCCACATAGATTGGCAGATAGAGTGCCAGAAGATATGCCAGAACATATTGCAGAAGATATGCCAGGTAGAATGCCAGAAGATATGCCAGATAGAATGCCAGAAGATATGCCAGTAACAAAACGTATAAATGTCATGGTGGGGATAACTCGAAGTATTTTTTTTAAGTATATAACCGTTAATATCCCAATGATAAAAAAAAAACTATAATTGTAACCAATCTACTAACTCCATGGTTCACTATGAATCAACGATAATCATTATAATATAATATAATGGCTTAACTATAGAACTATAATTAACTATTTCGGGTAATTAGCTGGCAACTGGCTAAAAAACCACCATCTCCAAGTATCCCAATATACCCAAATTATACATATCTAAACGTCAGTTTACTAGTTAACCAACACCTGGCCCATTTAAGTAACGGCTGCAAGGCTTCCGGGCTCTAGCTGACACCGCCTGCAGAGCGATGCCAGGATGCGATGGTCCATAGGTCACAGGTTCACTGGACCCATCGCCATCTATGCGCATATAAATATTGTATCGGTTCGGTGGCCGGGGACCCGATAACCTGGAACATACATTATATATAGAATCGATGTATATCTAATCATAATAAATAGTAATATAATAACACTATTAATATATATATATGTTTAAACACTATTAGGTATGTGTAATATACACTACATAACTATATATGTGTAAATCATAACATATATAATAGTTTAAAACACTATATACATAATTTCATATATAACAACATACACATATATTATAATAAAACAATATGTTTGTACTATAATAAATAACAATATATACATATACTATAATTTATAACAAAGTACAAATATATATATATATTATTATAATTATTATTATTATTTTTTTATTATTATTACAATATGTATGTATCATAGGGTCTGAGCAATTACTTCAGGTTCATCAAATCGAGGCTTTGAAGACCTAGAAATCACCTCATCACCTGGCCATAGTTGGAACTAACCGGGACCCAGTTTTGGCACCGATTTTGATAGCCCATAGCCATATAATCTCCCATTTCCCTACACTAAACAAACCCATTGTATGGTCCCACATAGAAGTCATGCCCCTACTAGGCCATGGCTTCTGCGGGAGCGTTTACTATTACCTGCAATGTTTTCTTGGAAATGCTTAAGGGGCCATGATTTCTTGGGGTGTGCTTGAAGGAAATTAACTACATCTACATCATCATCATCATCATCATCATCATCATCATCACATCATCACATCATCACATCACCACCATCACCACCATCACCACCATCACCACCACCACCACCACCACCATCATCATCATCATCCTCGTCATCGTCATCATCGTCATCATCGTCATCATCATCATGATCATCATCATCATCATCATCATCATCATTGTCATCATCATCGTCATCATCGTCATCATCGTGGTCATTGTCGTCATCATCATCATCATCACCATCACCATCACCATCACCATCATCATCATCATCATCATAATCATATGTCCATTAAAGATCTACAAACAATGGCCACGTGATGGGTGTACCATCCATGTTCAGACACGGCCCCAAATATCAAGTTAAGAGGTCCCCGATGATCCCCATCAATCCCTTTTAGGACTTAGGATTTTCCAAGCCCCATTTATGAAAACCCCCATAGCCATCACTACACATCGCAGCAGAATCCCTTCCTCACCTTGGGCGGATCTGCCACGGACCTATGTATAGCACAGCTTGGTCAAGGGAGGTTATGTGATGTGTAAAGCAACCCAACCCCCCAAGAAACGATAGACGTTATTGTATTGCAAAATTCAAAGAACATAGTGGTATTGAAACATAAATCATAGTGGTTTATACAGATGTATGGCAATTTCATTGGGACATGTTCATGATGTATGTAAGATTTTACATCTGTACAACCAACCCCGATGGCAGCTTTGGTTCCCTTCGCTGCTGAAGTCCTTGATCAAAATTTCATCCAACTGTCATTTATTGGTTCTATTCTATATCCCATGATATCCTATTATACTTCCATAAAACATTTCAAATCCCATTCATGGATATCCTGATATGCTGGTACAGTCCCACTATTGTCGGTAAAGTATCCATCATACCCAAATTTCACGATTTCAGACACGCAAAATATGATGTCAAAGTTCGTTGTATATAAACCTTCCCAATAGGGGGTTGGAAGACTAGTTTGCACTAGTCACATGCGCTATTTTGCGGGTCAACGGTCAAAGTGAGTCAACTTTGGGGAGGGTGGCTCCATCCTGCGATGTGCATCCCACTTCACAAATACTTTACAAACATAGATAGCATAGTATGTAGGATATACCGCCGCTATATAGGGGTCGCTATAAAGAACACACAGATAGATCTCTTCAAAAATGATCAACACATGTGTCAACCTCCCAAGGTCGGTGCAGTGTGGGTTCCAAGGCTTTGGTGGTGACTGCATCCTCCCCGCCTGGCGACGAGGTGCTGCATCAATCAAACTAAAGGTACCACCTAAAAAAAGTGTGTCGTTGAGGTTCAAAAAATCCCATGCAGCCGTGTTTTTTTTGTCCATCGCACAAAAAAACCTGGGGGCCGAACCTTCGGCCGCTGGTCGATTCACCTTGCAACCGCACAATCGCAACATGGGTACCCTCTGGGAATCCAACATTTTTCGAGTAGCTGTGGAAAATGGCCAGTTTGAGGATGAACATTACATGCTTTACTTAGTGAAAAATGTTGAAAAATGATGGGTGTCCATAAATAAAGGCCGGTTAGTTAGTTTACTGGAGGGTAAACAAAAAAATCATCGCAATTGGGTGTAATTGAGGCAGCGTTTTACCCCCACAGCAGATTAGCATTCACCAACAAGGCCAGCCCTGTTTCAGTACTGGTCCCCTATGAATAACATTGCCAAGTGGGGTCACAGCTTAAGGTCTATAATGGAATATCACATGGTCTCTAGACTTCACAAATAAAGAGACACGGTACAAACATGCGTGCAAAACCCACATTTGCTGACTACATGCCATCTGTATCGCACCCATCTTGCAAATTTGACTACATTTGAGGCCCCAAAAGATGGAGCCAAGGTGCTTGGGTCTGCCAATTCACAACCAAATCATTGAGGGTAGTGTGTATATATATATACATATGATCATATATGATATAATATTATATACATAATCATCCTGGAGAAGGTAGATAAGATAGAATATGGATTTTTCAATATCATATTCTAATTTTGGTGGTGGTGTTTTGATATTTTCATGTTGAATATATTTCAAGAAGATTATGTGTATATATCATTATAAATCTATATACATACACCCATACAATCCCATATATATATATATATACATAATATATACGATGATATATGTCTAAAGATCTCATGTCAGGGAGACTTGCCACCAATATGAACAGCCACTCATACCGACCAAGAAGTTCATCGTGGCTTCGAGAAGTCGCCTCTGACGACTGTCCGGCTTCATCGTCGACCTGAAACAGCGACTTTGGGTTGGGCCAATGGATTGGTCTAAGGGACAATTTACAGGAAAACTCCGGAAAACCCCATGTTTCATGGGAAAATCTATGGTTTCCGGTTAAGATTTTCCCAACAAAACCAATCCATTGATTGGGAAATTCCCAACAACTCTTCTTGCAAATAGCTGTCCATTTGCCTATGTACCGATCTACCTCTTTACCTATCCATCTTCCTATCAATCTATCAGTCTATCCTACCCCATTGTATTCTAGTAGTATCGTGTTCTATCCATTTATCAAACTGTTTATGCAGATCATCTATGTTGTATGGAGTTTCCTTTACCTGGCATTAGTCATTCCTTCATCTCGACATTGCATCCAGTTTTGGCCCACAAGGGGCACTCGCAAGGGTACCATGAATATCTCAGATCGAAAATCATGCACCAGTGGACAACTCAATATGAGTGGATAAAACAAAACAAGAAAACTACTGAGTACTACAGTTACTACAGTGATGATTTATTGAATCTTTTTTTCTGTGCCCAATGGCCAAGAACATGATTTTCCTAATAGTCCTCATACGAATCTCTCTCTATCCGGTAGCCTCTGCCACTTCGGAAGATGCGGATGGACTGGGCCTGGAAATGACAGGAAATGCCAGAGAGAACCTACTATAATATATATATATATATATATCTATATACATATTGTAATATATATATATATATATTATTATATTATATTGTATTATCTTGTATTATATTAAATTATATGATATGATTTTATATTATATATGTTTTTATTGTATTATATGTTATATTAAAAATTATCTGAAATATTAATATATATATATAATTATTTTATATTATATTGTTATATTATATTATATTACATTATAGTATATTACATTTTACTATTATGTTGTATTATATAGTAAATAAAATATAATATATTAAAGAAAATAATATAATATAATATTAAATCAAATTACGTTATATATTATGTCATATTATATTTTTTTATATTATATATTCTATTTTATTAAATACTATATTATATATATTGTATTATATTAAATCAAATATGATAAATATAAATATATATACTATTATAGTATATTAATAACTATATTATATTATATTCTATAATTATATCATATATTATTTTTAGTTATATTATACCATATATTATATATTGTGTTATAGTAAATATATTATAATATATATTATTATAATATAATATTATATTATATTATAATATTACATTATATGATAATATTGCATTGTATTAAACCATAATATAACATTATATTATATTATAATATCATTTTATGTATTATACTATATATTCATCTGTATGATATGTATGTAATATATATATATATATATTGCAAAGAAAAAAAACACATCATAGAATAAACTACTACATCTACAGTACGTATGTGATGGATGTATTATGGATTCTAACTACAGGCCAACTATATACTATCTTGGAATAACTATTATTGGACATTATTGGATTAAATACCAACGGATGAAATATTACTTCTGGATGTATCGATAATTTACTATTGGATTAAATATCATTCAATATCCATATGCTATGGATATTTTTAGTACCATGAAATTGTTCATATTATACCATGTATAAACAAAAAATGGATAAGTGTACACACATATATGCTATCACACACTATATTTCAAAACTATGTGAGTAATATAAACTAATATATATATATACAGTAGTGTGATACTATGTGAGTAATATACATCAAACTAGCAGCCTGAGGTCATCGGCGCCAAGAGCGCCTCAGATTCGATGGGCGAATCGAATCGCGGGTGGTTGGAAGGGAAATCCCATGGGAATGTCTCTATGATTTAAAGTGATATAATCACACCAGATGTTAGTACATAGCTCGGGACCCACATGTATGTATATATATTATGTATGTATATATATACTTACATATATATATAATATGCAGATAGATGATCAATTATGATGCTTCTGCTGTGATCCTTTATGATTCCTTGATGGCCTTGGTTCAGATTTCACTTGTGAAAGCCACGTCTCTCCCCCACCTGTGGCGCCATCAATGCCCGTCTCGCCAGCGGCATCGGCATCATCCATGCCGCTGGTGAAAGCAACTTGTGAGGATGTCATCTGTTGGTGATGTCAACTCCCCTAAACAAAGGAACAGAAAGAAACGTGAATCGGGGGCATCATCGCAAACTTCTTGGATAACGAAAAAACACGTGTTGTCTTCAGTTTTGAATGCAAACCATAGCACACCATATTATTACCCATTCCAAGGTATAGTTCTGCATATTTGCAAATCTGGGTGTCTGTAGACTATCATGGTCCATTGCTGGATCGACACTTGACCTTAGTCTTTGACAAATTGTCATGGCATCAGCTCAGGATGGCCGTCTTTCAATGTAACATATAGAAACCCAATTAACATATGTCAAAACTCATATATATATATAATATCACTATAATATCAACATATAATTTTCATTTGCTTTATGGGCTATCAAAAACCTAATCGTTTGATGCTAGCCTCAGAAGGATTTCCGGAACACTTGTTGTTGCTGTGCAGCTGGAAGCTACTGCAAAGCGTTGAGCCACAAGCTGCAGACCTTGTCTATGGAGCAACGGGGAATAAAACATACCAAAATCATTTGGATTTGAAAAGGTACAGTTGTATACTTGAAATAGTTGGGCTTGATGATTCTGCAATACCAAGAATGAAGGGGCCGCGATTTCGTTTGAAAAACTGAAACTGGGTCCGGTCAATATTGTCAATATTCTTACACTTTCTCATATGTATGAATCCGTGGATGCACCACCATCATGCCCGAGGACAGCTTGACGTTTTGCCACAGGGCAAGAAATGGCGCCACAAAAGGGCACCGCAATTCATCACACGCCGCCCGCCAGAGCGATTTGCCCAGCGGACGGTCTTAAGCTCATCTACAGATGTGGCTGGTTTGGGGGGTTCAACCCAGGTGAAGTATAATGCGTATTGCCACCTTATGGAAGTCTTTATCAACATTAAAAAATATTGTTCTTCCAGATTCTGGAGGGATGGCAAATCCACCGAATCTACCAATCAAGCCGTTATATTCTCAGAGTTGATGCCCCCTTGAAAGAAAGCCATTGATGGGCCTTGAAGCCAGGACGAGACATTACAAGACAGTACGTTTGTGGGCAAATTGCTCTCTATATATACTCTGGTATATGAACATTTTGCTACGGAAATACATAACTTTTAGTAATTAATAGTAAACCATGTTAAACGATCTTTGAATAGACCACAAGAATTAACAATCTCAGAAACAAATCATGTCTGGGTCTCAATCCCCTCTGCCCGAAACTCAGACGTGCGAGTTTCGAACCAACTGCTTCAGCTTCGTCCTGCAGAATAGATCAGCCATCGGTCCTTTTGCGTTGCTTGCCAACCAGTTTGCTATGCTATGCTATGCTATGCTATGCTATGCTATCTATCTGTCTGTCTATCTATCTATCTATATATATATATATATATATACATATTACTGTATACATACATATATATATATACATGGATAAATGGCCCATTTATAGATGGTTTATCATACTTTACCAGTACCTATTACAAGTAGTGACTTTCAATCGCAAACGGTCAAATTACCAAGGGGTACCCACCTAACGTTTAGCCCATCAGCGCCACAGCTCCTTCCAATCGATGTAGTAGCTGCCTGTGGCCATGGTCCACTCAAACACTGGATGTTTCCCAAATGGGTGATGGGTATGTTTTTTTGGCAATGGGGTATACCATGGTATGCCTCAAAGTTGCCAGGCGGGAGGGTCTTGGGTTAGAGGTCAAAGTGAGGATCAAAAATAGGGAACCCCCCAAATCCCATGGTTTATCCCGGTTGCAACCATCATTTTCCCTTCCGCAGACGTCTGGTTTATCCACGAGTTTAGATCAACTGAACGAAGCTCTGCTGTGAATGGGAGCAGATTGGAAATGCCTAACTAATGGAATCAATTATTGATTGTCTGAACGAAATGTCAACAAACTTGTCAAGAGGGTGTTTGAATTAGCTATGACCTATTTCACTAGGCACCTATGAAAATTGCTAGTTTAAGGCTAATTCGATGTAAGGATTGAAAACGATATTTGCCTAGCCCTGCATAGTGGTCAGCACCTTGAGCTGCCAGAAATGCAATTGTAGTCATAGCCAACAAGATGTACTCACAAACATGCCGTGCATGTATATGTATATATATATATATATACATAAATATATATATATCTATATAGAGCAACAAAGATAACGATGTGTATTTTCTGACCCTTTCTATAGACACAGGTATGTAAGTATATATATATATACACGTATATATATATATATATACATATATATATAATGACTATATGGGGTTTGCTTGAAAAATAAAACAGGATACTCCAAAACCCAATGGACTATCATAATTTTCCCTATTAAAGTAACTATTGATTGTTGATGGGGATTCCCATTTTTAGACCCAACCATATCAATGTGTATATATATATATATGTATAGGTGTGTATATATAAATGTAGGTATAAATATAAATATACATATATATGATATATATATATGTATATATATGATATATATATATATGTATATATATATATATATATGATATATAAATATATGTATATATATGATATATATATGTATATATATATGATATATATAAATATATGTATATATATGATATATATATATATGTATATATATATGATATATATATATATGTATATATATATATGATATATATATATATACATATGCATCAAATACATATATATATATATATATGTGTGTACACATATATACATATATGTATTTTATATATAATATACGTATACATAAACATATACATATACGTGTTCACATGTACACATGTACACATATACACATGTACATATACAATCATATACATATACATATACATACTCACATTCAATATGTATATACATAATTACACATATACATGTACATCAATTTCGAATATTGAGATTACATATTTTATATTCCTGTGAGGTTTCAATATGCATTGCGTCTTCAATCGGCGTCTCCTGTGCCTGTTGAGCTCCAAGTCCTTTAAGGCCCATCTGGCAGCCTCAAGGTCCTGCGAAGCGTTTGGTGCTAACCCCTGGCAGTTCGCTGACGACAAACAGCTCTGCAGATCTCAGATGGAACTGGTTGGTGGTATACCTACCCCTCTGAAAAATGATGGAGTTCGTCAGTTGGGATGATGACATCCCCAACTGAATGGACTACAACCAGGGAACCATTCCAAGACTTTCCCATTCCAAACCGCCCAGCCGCAGCAGCTCATCCATTTTCCCAGCTCTACTTTGGCACGGGCTGTAGGGTTTCCGCCGGTGCCGGCGATGTACTGATGTCACGTTCAAAAATCAATAAAAGCTCTGTGTCAGAGCCTAACCTGGCCATTTGTTTGCTTAAGATGGACCCCCCGCAAAAAAAAACACACATGCCATTAGTCCCTATAGTTGTGGTCATTGTGGCGGATTCACCCCTGAGTCTTGCAACATCAAAATACAACATCAAAATAGCCATATCAATACTCACATTATCAAGTAGTCATCTTTGGGACCCTGATTTTGGAGTTTCATTGTTGAATTTGCCAAATGTCACCAATTGAAAAATAAATAAACAATGATCTTCAGCAAATCAATTCCAAGTAACATCGTGTTGGACTTGAACTGAGACACAAGGTCGTCCACCGTGTTGATGTACGATGCATCCATAATGGTCCTGAGACACTGGAGTCTATGTTGATACAAAATGTGACTTTATCTCAAAAATCTGCAAATAAGGTGGGTACCCCCATGTAGCCTGTAGTCTAATATCATTGTCCCATTAAAATCATCATAAATCCACTGTCATTCACCCATTCTCGGACAAATCCGTCCTGGTTTCACCTGAAATACCCTCTGGTAATTTAACATAGCTATTGATAATGACCATAGAAATAGTGGATTTTCCCATTAAAAATGATGGATCTTTCCATAGTTATGTAACAAATTACCAGAGGGTACATAAGACTGAGAGATTAGAAAGATCCATTGATTCGAAACCATCCATCAGCATCCATTGTTGATCGGATTTTATGTTTTTTTTTTGCGAGATTAACCTAAACTATAGTTACCATCTGCTTATTTAACATAGCCATGGAAAATCACCATTTTGAATAAGTAAACCATCTATAAATGGGCAATTTTCCATGGCTATGTTAAATAACCAGAGGGTACCCCCCCAAAAAAAACAAACAGATCAAGTATCCTCCTTAGAATTTTGCCCTCACTGGACTCCTGACCGTTGATCTGTCATGTCAGACCTCTACGATGGGTTTTAGTTGCTCCATCTTTTTCGTTTAAGTCTTCATAAAATGCCAATTATATCTACCAATCTGGTTGGTGGTTTCAACCCCTCTGAAAAATATGAAAATCAGTTGGGATTATTATTCATGGAAATATTCATAGTCAGTTATGATTTTTCAACCCCAACCACCAATGGACAAATAAAACATGTTCCAAACCACCAATGGCAGCAATGCCGCAGTCCCAAAAACTGCCGTTGTGCGACACCAAAGCCCAGCACCCGGGTGTTGTCATTGTATCCAAGTAAGGGAACTAAAAAGGGGATAAAAGGGGATGGAACGGTAATCTATCAAGATCTTAGTAGGACCTTGAGTTCCTATCTTTTTTGCAGGTTCCCGATTGTGTTCAATTCACCGAGCATCTGTCTCCAACGCCCCAAGCCACCCACGACACTGGACACAAAGTCCTGATCCCAGGAACTTCCGACCATGGTGGTAGCATGATAAACATTATCCCCAACTATGTATACCCAATATGATTTTGTTGATGATAACATTATCTGTGAAACCAATCACATATGTTTGAAAAATAAAAGGAATATAATGGAATATCAATGGAATATCGTGGAATATCATATCCAATTTCAACACACTATAAACCCTCATTAGGGATCATTCGGGATGGTTGGGCACGTTGGGCACAAGTTGGACCATCTACCCATGGCATCTGGCATAGAGCCTGGTCATTCATGCATCCATGGACCTGATCTCACGTGGTTCATGCGATCGTTTT